GTGTTGGGGCCCAAGGGGTTCTGCTGGGGCCGTCTAGGGCCGGGGTTAGTGGACCTCATTTACTTCCGGCCCAGACCATAGTAAGAGGGGACGGTGAACCCTTCATCGCGGTCCTCAATGTGGGCTCGCAGACGGTGGTGGTCCCACAGGGGACCGTGCTTGCTCACGCAACGCGGTGCCATGTGAGGAACCCGTCGCAAATCACGTCAGCGTTGTCCCTGCGCCGCGACCGCATTCGGACAGCGATGAAGGGTGGCTCGAGGCGCTTTGTGCGGGATCGACGGACCTGTCAGATTCAGAGCGTCAACAACTTAAAACACTACTGCGGGAATTTTCCGACGTTTTTAGTCGGAATAAATACGATTTGGGTTGTACTCACCTGCTGCGTCACCATATTGACACGGGTGACAGCGCGCCAATTCGCCAAAATCCGTTTCGGTTGAGTCCCGCCGAAAAGGACCATGTCAAATCGGCTGTTGATGACATGTTGGCCGCCGACATCATTTCTCCTTCCACCAGCCCTTGGGGAGCGCCGATCGTCCTGGTTAAAAAGCAGGACGGTTCGTTGCGGTTTTGCGTTGATTTCCGGCGTCTTAACAAAATTTCGGTTGCCGACGCATACCCGCTCCCTCGGATGGATGAATCGCTGGACGCCTTGGCGGGAGCGCGATTCTTTTCCACACTGGATTTACTTTCGGGATTCTGGCAGCTTCCTCTGGACGATGATTCAAAGCCTAAAACTGCTTTCCGTACACCGCATGGCCTGTTCCAATTCAACCGGTTGCCGATGGGCTTACACTCAGCACCGGCAACTTTCCAGCGTTTGATGGAATTGGTTTTGGCTGGATTGCAATGGGAGTCGTGCCTCATTTATTTGGATGACGTTATCGTCTTTAGTAAAACTTTTGACGAACATCTCCAGAGGTTGCGGGCGGTTTTCCTAAAGATGCGGGCTGCTTATTTTAAATTCAAGCCCCAAAAATGCCATTTGTTGCGCGATTCGGTGCGTTATTTGGGGCACATCGTGGGACGCTCAGGTATTGCTACCGATCCCGCCAAAACGCAGTGTGTCAGCTCCTGGCCGACTCCCACCTCGGTGGGAGAGGTCAGGAGTTTCATTGGGTTCGCGTCGTATTACCGACGGTTCGTCGCTGATTTTGCGACAATTGCAAAACCCCTGCACGCTTTAACATCTAAAGGGGTTCGGTTCCACTGGGGTCAAGAGGAGGAGGCTGCTTTCTGCTCCCTTCGGGACGCCCTGGTAAAAGCCCCTCCCTTGATTTACCCAGATTTTTCTAAGCCCTTTTTGCTCGACACCGATGCGAGCAACACGGGTATTGGGGGTGTGCTTTCCCAGGTGGTTGATGGCGTGGAACGGGTGGTCGCGTACGGTAGTCGGGTGTTGTCTCCTGCGGAGCAAAGATATTGTGTCACCCGTAGGGAACTGTTGGCAATTGTCTATTTCATCCAACAGTATCGCCCATATCTGTACGGTCGGCATTTCACCATCCGCACAGATCATGCGGTACTACAGTATGCCCTGCGAGTTCAACAACCATCGGGACAGTTGTCTCGATGGTTGGAGGTTCTCCAGGACTTTGATTTTGAAACCACCTACCGTAAGGGCGTTCGCCATACAAATGCGGACGCTCTGTCGCGCATGCCAACCACCTCCGAATGTGCATGCCTCCTGGGGTCGGGACGTTGCAGGCCTTCAGGGGACGCATCGGTTCCGATCTTGGCAGCCACCGACGACGACGAACCATTGGTTACTAATTCGATCGAACAACAGGGAAGAGATTCCCTGTTGGGGTTGCCCGTCACTGAATGGGGCGCCTCCAAATGGAGGATACCTCCCTCCTCGGGTGGCGTCGTCGCGTCGGGGGTGCTGGGCGGGTGAAGGGTGATTCGGATGCATGGGAAATGGTGCAAGGTCTGCTGATGCATTGGGACGGCAAATCCCAGCGACATCGGCTGGTGGTCCCTTCTGAGTTGCGAGGCAAGGTGGTGTGGGCCGCGCATGAGCGCCTATTACACCTGGGGACCCAAAAGACTCTTGCACTGCTACAACTTGATTTTTTTTGGCCTGGTATGACGAGGGATGTTGGGGATCTATTGGGATCATGCCCTCGGTGTGCGCAACGGAAACCGCCGGCGCGGGAGTCTAACCCGCCCTTGCAATCGATCAAAGTATCCAGAATAAATGAGCTTGTCGCGCTGGACATTTTGGGCCCATTTCCCGCCACCCCCAGGGGCAATAGGTATTTGTTGACAGGTGTCGAGTATTTTACGCGCTGGCCTATGGCCTGGCCCCTTGCCAACCAGTCGGCAGCAGCCATCGTGGAGGCCTTTGTTCAGGGATACGTCCTGGACAAAGGTGCTCCGGAGCGGCTGCTGACCGACCAGGGCAGAAATTTTTCCGGTAAATTACTCAAACAAGTCTGTGACCTCTTAGGCACGAAGAAAATTCGTACCTCCCCGTATCACCCGCAAACTGACGGAATGGTCGAGCGCCTGCATCGCACCATTACGTCAATGATGTCACAGCAGGTCTCGGACTCGCAGACTGACTGGGACCTGCATATTCAAGGGGTCTTGGCGGCATACCGGATGGCACCCCATGCAGCTACGGGATTTTCCCCCTTTTACCTCATGTACGGTCGCGAACCCGACCCGCCTGTTCGCGCCCAGCTGCAGATCCCCGACCCGCAAGGGAAAACTAAATTGGCTGACCACGTCAAATTTAATCTGGCCAAATTAACAGAGGCGCGGGATGCTGCTATGCTAAACTCGGACCTCCGTCAAAAGGCGAATGAGCGCCTCAGGCTGGGTCGGGCGCACGTAATACAGTGGAAGCCGGGGGACAAGGCATGGTTGCACTGTCCCCAAGTGCCCCTGGCTACCTCCCCTAAGCTGGCGCGGCCGTGGCGGGGCCCTGTGGAGGTGGTCGAAGTTTTGCGACCACAGTGCGTGCGCATTGAATGGGGGAAGCGGCGATGGTTCGTGCACCCCTCTAGGTTAAAACCCTTCGTTGCGGTACACAAACCCACTTCACACATGCGTGGCCAAACGTGTGGGGGGTCGACCGACTCACTGGGTCCGTCTCCGTCGTTCTCACCTAATGCCTTGCCGGCCGTGCCACCTCCAGGTGCATCAGGACTGACGGGCTCACGCCCGACCACCCCTCCTGGGGATACCGACGGTCGCGCGGCATCGGATGAGGTCTCACTCCGGGACGGACAATTGCCACCTTACGGTCCGCCACCCGGGGTTACCCCGTGTGAGGGGCCCGCTGCAAGGACGCGCGCAAAAATGCGCAGACTGTTATGAGGCCGGAAGATGTGTACATAGGTTGTGTTCATCGTGTGTTGTGTGGGTGGTGTGTTCCCTGCCCATTGAAATGTACATACGTTGTGTTCATTGTGTGTTGTGTGGGTGGTGTGTTCCCTGCCTATTGAAATGTACATACGTTGGGTTCACCTGGTGTTGTGTGTATGGTGGGTTCCCTGCAAATTGTATATAGGTTGTTTTTTTACGGAATTCGTATTTATTCAAGGGGGGGTGCGTCGGGTTGTTTTCTCTTCTTGCTGTTGCATTTTGTTGTGTTCTTGTTGCTGTTCTTGTTATTGTTGAAAAATAGTGAGGCACACGCGCGGTCAAGGGATAAATGCACTTTTATTGTCATTTTTGTATGTTGGCAGCCGGGACGGCTGCAAGCTATGCGGGGGGGGGGGTGATGTAGGGGTGTTAAAGAGAGGGCCCGTTATGCATGGCAGCCTATGGAAAACAAACACAGTGGGCGGGGCTACGTAAGTGCACGAGCAAGTGCCCTCTACGACGTCCGAGCCAGACACCCTGGGGGGGGCTGGTTCGAACGTTATGATCCCCCGGGGCCCCACCCCTCAGGGAGGGGTTGGGTATAAAAGGGGATGTTTCAAAGGGCTCGGCAGTTATGTTTAAGCTAAGGGAAGAAGATTGAAGACGTCTTAGATAGAGCCCTCGACTCCCCTGGTTCGATGTCCTTTTCAGGGCCGGACAGGATTGAGCCAGCGGCGTGGTCCCGAAAGCCAGAGCCGGTGCTCTTGTAAGAGCTGGTCTGGAACTCCGGGTACCGGGCCCGACTTACCAGTGTCGGGCCAGTTAGCCTCCCCTAGCCCATTAGTGGAGGATTCGGGGCTAGGACAGAGTTAGCTAGGGGTGTATCCCGAGTTATACGGGTGAGGGGGCCGATACCCCCTCGAGAGTGTATATGCCCACTGTCATACTGTGAAATAAATATACGTGTGCCTCAACCTCGGCGTCAAGCGTCTTCACCGGTACTTCAATAGTATGTAGCTGCAGTAACTAAACAACCACGTACAAAACTAAAGTATAAACTACATAGTATCATCAGTATACTAAATATATTTTCTTAATTATTTTATTACTTCCCTTCTACGTGACTTTACCGAAAGATCCAAGAAGACGAATCCCTGCAGTCACGAAAGCTTTAATTCAAAATGTAAGTCAGTGTTGATGATGTGGGTTCATGGTGAAGATGTGAGTCTGTGTTGGTTACGTGGATTCGTGCCGATTGTGGGTTATTGCTGATGATGTGGTTTCATGTTGAGTGTATGAGTCCGTATTGATGATACGAGTCCATGATATTTACGTAGGTTAATGGTCATGATGTGAGTCCATGTTGTTTCTGTGGATTCGTGGTGATGGTGTGAGTCCGTGCTGATGATGTGAGTTCGTGCTGATGATGTGAGTTCGTGTTGATGTGAGTCCGTATTGATGAGGCAAGCCCATGTTATTCATCTGGGTTTATGGTGATGTATGTATGTTGAACTTCTTTCGCACAGTACATAGCCAACCGTGCTGATCAGAGTCGGTGTTGATGATGTGAGTCCGTGCTGTGACCTGATTCGTGTTGTGACATGGGAACCAGTTACGTCACACACCCTCGACTCTGCGTGACCCTCTCCTCTCTCCCCCGCTCTCCACCGCTCTCCACGCAGAGACCCGGATGACGCCAGGAACGACGTGAGCTCTGTACACAACGCTGCTCTGCAAGTCACTGCCATGGAGGTAAGTGTGGGTCCCTCGACTCGCGCGGTGAAGTATGAGGTGAACGTGTGTTCTCCACTCTCCATCCATGTGCCTGTTGCCTACCTGTCTACCTGGGTGTGCATCTGCTTGCCTACCCGTGTGTATGTGTGTGTTTCTATCAGAATGTCTTTCTGAGATCCTGTCTGTGTACCTGCCTGTCTATCTATGTATAAACATTTAGAGCATTCTTATCTATCCACTGTTGGATGAAGGCCTCCCTCCTCGAGCCACTGGCACCTCTCACAATCTAGCGATGGAGTAATCTGGCCAGCGCATGCTCTGCATTCTATGATACTATTTCATAGCTCCATCTCGATGGCGGACGTTTTCTCAGATGCGTTCCTGCCACTCCGTTATTGTCTGTCACTTCGTTATTATTCTTCACGATCAACCAATCAACCATCACCATCCCTTCTGGCCGTGGCGTGTCCTGGCCCAGCCCCACTCAGTTTTCTTAACATTCTGAATGATCCCATTAACCTGTGTATCTTCCAATCCACGTGTTCCTCTTTCTGTCTCAATGTAAATCCAGGTGTGGCATCTTGATATCAGACAAACATCCCAATGCTGAGATTTGACATCAGAATCAAAATCTTTATTTAGACTGTAAGAATCCAATGACCTACGAAGCTTGTTTTCACAGATGTCCAGTATGGGAGGGTCAGCAAGTTACAACAGAAAACAATATAAAACAATAGGAGTGCAAATTAGAAAAATGGAAAGCAAGTCAGTAACTTTAAATCATTAATTAATTATACAAGTCTTATTTATCAATATTGGGAAACCATATTCTTTGGGTCTTTCGGTAAAGTCACGTAGATAGGTTCAAATTCAAAATAAATAAACAAAAAATGACGACGTTTTAATCATAACACAAGCGATCGTCATCAGGAGGAAAACAGAGGGGGAAAGCTGCTCAAAGCAGACTGTTTTAAAGGTTTAAAATGGGTGTAGCCACGTACCGTCGGCTCTGCGATCTTACATTAACATGCTAATCTCTCACATTAACATAGCCACCTCAGCGTGCTCGCCGTGGAGGCCACTCTCCGATCTTACATTAACATGCTAATTTCTCATATTAACATCACTAGCCCCGCCCACTTCGTTTATGACCCTTGCGGCTTGCACTCATTTTGAACTTTTAAAGAAGTCTGTTTTAGCAGCTTTCCTCCTCTGTTTTCTTCCTGATGACGATCGCTTGTGTTGTGATCGAAACGTCACGTTTTTTCTTTTAATTTGAACCTATCTACGCGACTTTACGGAAAGACCCAAAGATTATGAATTCCTGCAATCACGAAAGCTTTAAGTCAAGATTTAATATTGGGAAAGGCAGCAAAAACAACAACAAAGCAGTCCTCAGCCACACCAATATATCACATAGCCCATCAATAAACTTGCACATTAACTTTGAACTATCAGCAGGACCCTCCTGAATGTGGAGCCCAGATATCATCGGTGCTTGCTCAGTACTCACCTACTGCACTTAACTCAACACCTTGTTGAATCCTATGTGGGGAACCTTTGTCTTTGTGTAGATGAGCAACGCTGAAGGTGGAAGAAATGGCGGGTCTTGCGACACTGCGGTTACTTCCTCCATCCGGAGAAGATCACCCAAAGGTAATAATAGTCATGTGAGACGTAACAGTGGCCATGTTGCAGGGGTGATGTCATGTCGACTATGTTGCATGGATGATGTCAAGGTGGCCATGTTGCATAAGGAACATCATGGTGGCCATGTTCCATGGGGGGGGGGGATATGTATTTTTCTGCTGATTAGCAGCTGAATGACTGATACAGTGAGAGTGATAATGTAGAGCCTAGCAGTCGCTCTTTTGGAAGCTAGAGTTTGGAGTTAACTAGAACTCCCATATTTACTTTGATCTCTTTTCTCACATGATGGTTACAATAATTGTTCAATCCTAGTCTGCCAGACTTTCTACAAACTGATGATTATCTATGCACTGGCCTCAGTACTGTAACAACAAAAACACATCAATAGCCACATAGGCCAGTATGGCATCACAACTTTACGTGGCAGGGTGGAAGCATAACGGCAACACTCATGTCTCACAGCAGGAAGGTCCTGGGTTTGATTCCTGATTCGAGCACCTCCCTGTGTGTAGTTTCTATATTCTTCCCCAGTTCTGAAGAACGTGAGGGAGTGAGAGTGTGTGTGAGTGTGTGTGTGGGCATATGGGTATCCCAGTTTCATCCCATCGCTACAAAAATAACCACACAATGTATTGGCCAAAACATTCCAATCCTGAAATATTTACCTGACAAATTCCTCAACTTAGGATCACACATATCAGCACCAGCACTGCTCCCATTCTGCAAAAGATCTGCAGGAACCTCCTGAAAAGGAGTCTTGAGACTGAGTGAGGCTGTCCTATATAAAACGCGCTTCGATGATAAAATATCACGTACAGTTCTTCTTGGTTCTTTTGGTAAAGTCACGTAGAAGGGAAATAATAAAATAATAAAAATACAACATTATAAAATACAATTCTCACGACGTTTCGGCCACAACGCAAGCAACCATCCTCAGGAGAAGAACAGGTCTGTCGGAAAGACGCTGTCTTTTTATTATTTCCCTTCTACGTGACTTTACCGAAAGAACCAAGAAGATGAATCCCTGCAGTCACGAAAGCTTTAAATCGAAATCACTTACAGTTATTGTTTTTCTCATGTCCGCAGAAATCCTGGGTCTTATTGGCCCTCAACTAACTCGCCGAGAGAAGGCAGAACTTGCCGCCATGAAAGACATCTGGTACTATACGTTCCACAACGATTCCCGGGGCACCAATAACTATGGCTACGACGACGAAGAGCATAATTACATTCTGGTGAGACTCACAACAAAACACCTACTTGGGGCGGTCACATAACCCAGCAGTAGCAGGGTTCGTGGTTTCTTGTTATTACACCTGCAGTAGCAACCAGGGCGGCTGCCCTGATTGCTACTTCAGGCCTCATTATCATCTTCATCATACACAGCATCATCACGCGCAGTATCTTCACACAGTATAATCACTCACTGCGTGATGACGTGCAGTGTCCTTGCACACAGCATTATCAGACACAGTATGGTCTTCCAACCAAGCATGAAAATTCCCAGCATGACAGAGCTCTCTCTCCTACCAACACACACACACAATGAAAATGTATCATGCTTCAGTTCGTCACAACTGTGAATCAGGTTATTAAATTGTACCCGCGACATTCCTGTCCAACCGAGCACTGAATTAACAGGGGGGGGGGGGTGAATGAGTGTTGATGATGGAGTTGGTGCCCTCACCCCTGACCTCTGTTTGATTGTCGCTCAGGACCCACATGTGCACCTCAACTACCGTTATGAGGTGCTCAAGACAATTGTGGTGGGAGGTCAAGGCCAGGTCATCGAGTGTCGTGACCACAAGACAAATAACATCGTGGTCGTGAAGATGTTGGTCACACCCTTAAGGTAAGACTCCACAGAGGCACCGTAATGAGGCCATGTGGAAGTGAAACTCATGCCTCACAGCGAGAAGTGGGCCTGGGTTCGACTCCTGAATTGGGCACCCTCCCGTGTAGATTTTGTATGTTCTCCATCTCTTCTGCATTGGTTCCCTTTGCGTTCTCGAGTTTCTCGTGGCGAGATTTTAACTCCCTCGCCTGGTATGCAGGAGGTCGTGGGTTCAATGACACCTATATATTTGTAGTGATCTCCCCGTGGCAGCATGGATTTTCTTCGGGTCCTCCGGTTTTTTACTCCACATTTAGAAACATGCGTTTAGAGTATTTGGCTGCTACGTGATAAGCCACTTGGTGAAGCTATCATCTGTGGCCATGTCGCCTCTAAAAAATAGCTATATAGGTCAGTGGGCCTTACCTGGTAAAATTTAAAATAGTTTTGTTTAACAGTTTTAGTTTCTTCCTCAAGCTTAAAAAACACATACAGTATAACTGGTATTGGACCAAACATCCCAATACTCAAAAATCACCTCCACATTACTCAACTACTGTGATTATAAATAACATTGGCGCCAACTGTGCAACTACTGCAGACTCTGTCAGTGAAACATAGCGCCTTCATTAGTTGTGCTCGCCTTGCAATATCAGACCCACATTCAGAGCCATGGCTCAGCTCGAGCTCAGCTCGAGCTCAGTCTCGAACTCTCACTCTTAGGCTCTGGCTTGAGTCACTTGGCTGCTATTAAATATGCTTGAGCAGCTCAGCCATAGCTCGGCACAGGCTCAGCTCCTACAAAATCCTGAGCATTCCTTGGACCACGCTCGGAGCCGGCTCAAGTTAATCACAGTCACACATCAGGGAATTACTCTATTCAGGCAGCACCCCAAACCCCCTTCTCTCCCGAGCTAATTTTATCCTCTTCCCAAACCTTTCTGGAACTTTTCATGGTTCTCCACCACCAATCCCTCTTAATTTGTTCAGTCTCTCCCAATTTAACCCCCTTATTTGCATTAAGTTTCCTCTGACGACCAATCTTTGCAGCGGCTTTTGGCTAGCCTTTGAACAAAGAGGGTCACTGCATCTCACGCTTTCAGATGCACTTCTGTGGCCGTCTGGAACGCTCTTCCTTTTGATATTAGAATGTCACTGAAACTATGTACTTTTAAATCTAAATTGCAAACAAATGTCTTTAGAACTGCTTTTCATCTTAAGTTTGTTGTCCTTCCCACGCATCTCCAATTAGCATGGTTGGCTATGTACAGTGCAAATGAAGTTCAGCATACATATGTACAATCCTATTTGAATGGCTCTCTACCTTCAAATCCAATTGTGTGCCATATGTCGGCCACTTTTCCTGTGATAGCTCCTCGGTAATGAAAGTTGAGCACTTCAAACTCACAAAGCCGTTAGACCCAGTGAATGTATATGTATTTATTTATTTCCGAATAGGCGTTACTTCGGGGCATCCTTTACACAAATCTATATGATTAACTTGTGGACTTCCTCTGTGCAGCTCCACGGATGAAATATTGGAGATGGGGCTCAAGAGGGCTATGGAACGTCAACGCAAGGACTATAACCAGGACTCCAATGTCGTCAAAGTCCTGGATGATTTCACTTTCAGAGGGCACTACTGCATCGTGCTGGAGCTGTTGAAGTACGTACCACGTGTTCCCCCATAGCGTGGTTACTTTTGACACTTGTGCCATCGACACATTGTAATACCGTGGCGCTGCTCTGTGTCTGCGAGGCTCAACCAGGACACACACGTGGTTGCACTGGAGGCCCCTCCTCTTTTCTCTATCAACCCTTCCCCTGTTCACCTAGCCACACCCCATTCCATCAGCAGGGTGGTGACAGCGCAGTGGTGACGCTCATGCCTCTCGGCGAGAAGGGCCTTGGTTCGATTCTCAGCTCGGGTGCTTTTCTGTGTTTAGTTTGTGTCTCCCCCCCTGTTCTGGAGAATATGAGTAAGGGAGCGGTAGTGTAACAATTAGCACGCTGCACTAGACACCGAGTGACCCAGGTTGAATTTCCACTCACGGCCAACACCAGTGACAATTATCTGAACCAGTCCTGGGCCTTCCCTAGGTCTCAGCCTCAAATAAGTAGGGATGTGCAAGATGCACGCACCCTGCTCCCATTCCCCAGCTAAGATCAGGTCTACCCCAATCACTACCCCTATCACTACCCTTTCTGCTAGGACCAGGCTGTCTCCAACCCCTATCAATATCATTATCTCTATCACTACCCCTACAGCTACAACCAGGCGTACCACAACCCCTCCTTAACCTGTCACATGTTGTCCTGTCACCATAACCACACCACCACTTTTTACAACCCACTCTTTATCTAAACCACAATCATGGCATGTACAATTTTTACAAATGCTGGAATAAGGTGCAATATAAATCGATATAATATACAAAATATAAGTGGGCAGATGTGCCATCTGATTTGGATTATGAGCAAATAGACCTAAACCCAAATAGGATTAATGATGAATAATAATATCGGTCATGAACGTGCATGGACAATAGTATTATTGTCCTTATCAGAATGAGCATAGCATTGCAGGATGGTACTGACGCTACAAACGTCGTTGTTGTTGCTGCTGTCGCTGGCTCTCTCACAGGGAGAGTCTCCAGCAAGTGATTGAAGAAGCAGGGCTCCGGGGCTTGGACATGGCGTTAATTAAAGCGTACACCAGGGAAATCCTCACATTCCTGAAGCATATGGAGTTAAAGGAGGCCGTCCACGCAGCCATCAGGCCAGTAAGTGAACATGGTGTTCAATGCGTCTTTGGAGAAGAGTCGTGTTGTACCTCACAAGGTTCATGTGTTAGGCCTGTCTGTCTATTTGGAAGGAGGCAGGGTCACAGTAAAACTGGTGAAGATGATCCGGTATAAATTATGACTTTGGTGAAGAGGCATGTCTCTATTGGGGACTCACCACAGAGAAAACTGGCCACATTGATCACGGCGTTGGTCAAAACTTGGGAGACATGAACCGGAGCTAAAACGACAATTTTCAAAAAATATACCTAATGCGTATTTTGACCTGTTGGTTGCCCGTCAGCTTCGATTTTGCGAATGGAAAACTATGAAAGGCAAATGCATGGTGGAAAGCATCACAGAATCCATGCACGTTGTCGATGATTTTTAAATCCTTTATATTAAGTTCGCTTGCTTGCTTGCTTGCGTGCTTGCTTGCTTGCTTACGACCGTGCAAATCTTTCGGTCGTTTTTTAACCCACTTCCCGTGATCCAATTAAGCTGACATTTTCCACACAGACTCGTTGTGCGAGACAATTAATGTTCGTGAAAAAAAATTCCCAAAATGTTACACTTTTTAGGCAAAACAAATTTATTTTACATATATTCAAATAGAACTCATTCATGGCTTTGGCTGAATGTCACAGTGTAAGAGCCCAGAGCGTAACCCATCCACAGGCCGTGGCGGAGTAGCGCAGTTGGTAGCGCCCTCGCTTCCCATGCCAAAGGTCGCGGGATCGATCCCCGCGTCCTCCACAGGCGAATATATTTTTAAATCCTTTATATTAAGTTCGCTTGCTTGCTTAGGACCGTGCAAATCTTTCGCTCGTTTTTGAACCCACTTCCCGTGATCCAATCGAGCTGACATTTTCCACACATACTCGTTGTGTGTGACAAATAATTTTTGTGAAAAAAAAACCAAAATTTTACACTGTTTAGGGAAAACAAATTAAATATTTAATTACCAATTGCTTAATACTGGCAGACAATCATCTGACCCATAGGTAGCAGCCATCTCAAGCCAGAGGACGAGAAGACTCTAGCCGCCATGCATATGTAGTGGTGGTATTGACGTGCGCCGGCAGTGATGGATCACGGGGCGCGGGGTTGGGCACGCGGTGTGGGCGTGGCATGGACGCGCGCGCCGGTGGTGAGGCGCGCTCACACAAGCTGGGAAAAGAGGATCGTAGCGAGTGCGCAGTGATTGGTCAGATAAGTGAGTACTCTCAGCGACGTCCGCAGGAGGGGTATAAAGGGGGACGCGCGAGAGCACTCGTGGTCAGTGTTAACCAGTTGAAGACCGAAGACGGGGTGGAGGAGGTAGGGGCCCTGTGTGGCTCGGAGCCGAGACTGGGGGGACCGTAGTCCGACGCCCGTGTGGGTCGGGACGGTGGTACCCAGAGCCGAGACGGGCACCCCGGCTGGGTGTGTCCCGGAAGGCTACAGGGCGTAAGAGCCCGTGTCAGTACAGCTGAGTGGGTGTTAGTCACCCGTGTAGCTGAGTGGGTGTTGGTCACCCGTGTAGCTGAGTGGGTGTTAGTCACCCGTGTAGCTGAGTGGGTGTTGGTCACCCGTGTAGCTGAGTGGGTGTTGGTCACCCGTGTAGCTAAGTGGGTGTTGGTCACCCGTGTAACGAAGTTGTAGCTGAGTGGGTGTCCGTCACCCGTGTAGCTAAGTGGGTGTTGGTCACCCGTGTAACGAAGTAGGGTGTTAGTCATCCGTGTAACTACAAGTTGGTGAAAATAAAGAGTGTGCTACCCGTGAAGTCGTCTCCTGCCGAGTTACTACTTTACAACTGGCGTCAGAAGTAAACCTGTCTTCAAGGAGAATGGACACAAGAAAGACTTCTCGTTCCCACGTGCAAGACCGGGGAGACGACGACGTACCGGTGACACCACCCTCGGGAGGAGAGGACGAGGAGTTGCCGCCGATGCAGCACTTCGCGGAAATGGCCGATGCTCCGCCCGCCTCCGACACCAGCCTGCAGGACGCACACTCCCGCCTGGCGGAGTTGCTGCTCGCCGCCGCTGCGATCTTGGCGGAGATCTCCGTTCCAGCGGCCGGTGGAACGCCTGCGGGGTTGGAAGAGGCGGCGCGGCTGGAGGGTTCCCGCCATAAGGCGTTTCGCGCCAAAAAGTTGGGAGTTGGCGCCATTTTTGAGGGTCCGCCTCCGGTTGGCGGGAAACGCGGACACCACGTGGCCAGAGGTCTCCACACAGCGCAGCCCGCGTCATCGGCGAGCGCCGGAGCTCTCCATTTTGCGCCTGCAGAGGGAGCCGACATTTTCTACAACCACAGCGGCGCGCGGGAAAATCGTTCCAACGACGACGACGACGATCGAGTTCTCCAGCAATGATTGCCCGCGCTGTCGGTGTTCAAGGCGGACGGGGGCGACTGGGGAGCCTTCCAGCGACGGTTCATTGCGCATCAAGAAATGTCGGGGTGGTCCGACACCACTGCCCTGCGCGCGCTGCCAGCGATGCTCGACGACGACGCGCTTGCGGCCTTCACGTCTGCCCCGAGGTCGTCCCGCTCAACGCTCCAGGCCGCGCTGCACCTGTTGGCCAAGGTGTTCGGGCCGCCCTCGACCTGTCGCCACCAGTTCTACGATCGGCGGAAGGTGGTTGGAGAAACAACGCTCGCCTATCGCACGGCGCTGCTCGCCCTGGCGGATTCAGCTTTTCCCCGCATGGACAAGGAGGGGAAGGACGCCATGGTGACGGAGCAGCTGCTGGCGCTGGCTCACGGATTGGGAGTTCCCATTAATACGGCGGACGAGATGGACATCTGCTCCCTGGGGATTGCCACGAGTATCCACGCTTACGAGGTCCTACAGCGGAAGCCGACGGTCGTCTGCGCATCGGTGGAGAACGGGGCACCGGCCGCCACGATCATCGGACCTCAGCCTGCTGTGCCTCGGGAGGAGGCCTTCGCTGGTTCGAGGCCGGGGGAGTGGAGAACGGGAGGTCGTTCGCCCACACGCTCCTCCCGCAAGCTGGAGCAACCGAAACCTACGACGTCCCTCGTCGTCTGCTACAACTGCGGCCTTCGGGGCCACGTCGCGTCCGGGTGCCGGGCCCCGCGTCAACGCACCGCGGGACCACGTCCGGACGACGACCAGGGACTCAAGACATCCCAACTGAACCCGGCAAGTCGCGGCACCTCACACGTTCGGTCCACACGCACGGCACGTTCGGGTCGCCGCTTAGCGGTGGGGGGACCGTGTATGGGCGCCGGGGGTTCGGTTCGGCGAGAGGGGTCCGCGTACGGCCCGAAGGCAGTCGAGTGGTCCGAATTGGCCCACAGGATTGTGGCTGCGTCGGCCGGGTCGTCCGTGGTAACGGGGTACATTGACGGGGTTGAGGTCCGGGTGCTCGTGGACACGGGTGCGTCGGCCACTATTATTTCGGACCTTATTTATAATATTCTTCCCGTACAATGTCGACCACTTCTGCCGGTGGACGTACCATTTTACGCGGCAAACGGGGGATCTTTGGGAATCATCGGCCAGATTCGGGCGAATATTTGTATTGGCGACATTAAATTGGCGGGTCCTATTTTTGTATCATCATCGTTGGCCGTTCCTTGTTTACTAGGCACGGACTTTCTGTCTAAAATGCCCATAAAAATTCTCATAGACCAGGCCTGCATTGAGCTTCCGTCGGGTCGGCGGGTTGAGTTTTTGAAGAGTCCAAATAAGATACGCACGGCTTGTGCGACGGTGCAGGCGCTGGCAACCCGGACTGTACGGGTGCCCCCGGGATCGCAAATGTTGGTACCCCTTCGGTTGAGAAAACCCCTTGGGGCGGATGCGGGGGCGCAGGGAGTTCTATTGGGGCCGTCTAACAGGGCTAAAGGGGACCTCGACTTAGCGGTGGCCCAGACCATGGTGAGAGGGGACAGTGAGCCGTTCGTTGTGGTCCTGAATACGGGGTCGCGGCCGGCCGTGATTACGCAGGGAACGGTGCTCGCTCACGCCGCGCCGCTACCCGTCGAGGAACAGCTCGTTGCTCACGCCGATTCGCATGTCGATACGCATCCCCAAAGTGAGGAGGGGACGGAGTGGTTGGACTCGTTGTGTGCCGGGTCCAGTACCTTGTCCAGTGTGCAGTTGGGTGCATTGAGGGGCTTGCTGCTCGAGTTCGCTGACGTGTTTAGCAGGCACAAGTACGACATTGGCTGCACAGACCTGTTGCGCCACCACATAGAGACTGGGGACGCGGCCCCTATTCGACAGAATCCCTTCCGGCTCAGTCCAGCCGAGAAGGAGCATGTGCAGTCGGCAGTAAATGACATGTTGGCGGCCGACATCATTGCGCCCTCTTCCAGTCCGTGGGGTGCTCCTATCGTCTTGGTTAAAAAACAGGATGGATCCCTGCGGTTCTGTGTTGATTTCCGCCGCCTAAACAAAATATCAATGGCCGATGCGTATCCGCTCCCCAGGATGGATGAGTCGCTGGATGCCTTGGCAGGAGCACAGTTTTTTTCGACGCTCGATTTGCTTTCGGGATTTTGGCAATTGCCCCTCGATGACGAATCAAAACCTAAAACCGCTTTCCGGACACCGGGAGGCCTATTTGAGTTCAACCGATTGCCCATGGGTTTACATTCCGCTCCTGCCACGTTCCAGAGGCTCATGGAATTGGTTTTGTCAGGCCTTCAATGGGACACCTGTTTGATTTACCTCGATGATATCATCGTTTTCAGCCGAACTTTTGAGGAGCACCTCCAGCGACTGAGGGCAGTGTTTCTCAGGATGCGTTCCGCGAAGCTTAAATTTAAACCGGCTAAATGTTTTCTGCTTCGGGAATCGGTCAGGTATTTGGGCCATATCGTTAGCCGTTCGGGGATCTCGACGGACCCTGCTAAGACGCAATGCGTCGGCTCATGGCCAACACCGACCTCTGTTACTGAAGTCCGCAGCTTCATAGGATTTGCCTCCTATTACCGTCGTTTTGTCAAACAGTTTGCCACCATAGCCAGGCCCCTGCACGCCTTGACGGCTAAAGGGGTGCGGTTTCACTGGGGGCCGGAGGAGGAGGCCGCGTTCTGCTCCCTTCGTGACGCCTTGGTGCAGGCTCCCCCCTTGTGTTACCCCGATTTCACGCAACCGTTTGTGCTCGACACGGATGCCAGTAACACGGGTATCGGGGGAGTGCTCTCACAGGTGGTCGGGGGGGTCGAACGGGTGGTCGCCTACGGTAGCAGGGTTCTGTCCCCCGCGGAACAACGCTACTGCGTGACACGGCGTGAATTGCTGGCGATTGTGTTTTTTATACAGCAATTCAGGCCGTATCTGTATGGCCGTCACTTTACGGTTCGCACGGACCATGCGGCTCTCCAATACGCTATGCGGGTGGCGCAGCCATCCGGCCAATTGTCCCGATGGTTGGAGGTCCTTCAGGACTACCAATTCACGACGATTTACCGCAAGGGGTTGCGCCACTCGAATGCGGATGCATTGTCACGGTTGCCGACGCGTACGGAATGCGCATGTCAGTTGGGATCGGCGCGGTGTAAACCTTCTGTCGATGTCCCCGCGGAAGTGGTGCTAGCCGCCACGGATACTACGGGGGTCGACGCCCCCACGGGGAGGGACTCGCTGTTAGCATTGCCTCTCATCGAGTGGGGCCGTCTGCAAATGGCCGACAGCTCCCTACTCGCGCTACGTCGGAAGGTTAACGTTCCCGAGGGCGGGGAAACGCGGGTCGGTTCCTGGGTGTGCAGACAGGGCCTCTTGATGAAGTGGGACTCCATGTCCCGGCGTCACATGCTTGTGGTGCCGGTTGCTGTACGGGGTAAGGTCGTCCTGGCTGCCCATGAACGACTCATGCATCTGGGGTTTCACAAAACGCTCGCCCTCATTCAGCGAGACTACTATTGGCCTGGGATGGGCAGTGACGTGGCGAACATTCTTAAGGGGTGTGTAGGGTGCGCTAAAAGAAAACCGCCACAAATAGCGGCTAATCCACCGCTTCAATCCATTCAGGTTTCGCGCACGAACGAATTGGTCGCGCTAGACATCTTGGGGCCCTTTCCCACTACACCTCGGGAAAATAAGTTCCTGCTGGTTGGCGTAGAGTACTTCACCCGCTGGCCCATGGCGTGGCCACTCGCCAACCAGTCGGCTGCGGCAGTGGCGGACGCCTTTGTCCAAGGTTACGTTTTGGACAAAGGCGCCCCCGAACGCTTGCTGACGGATCAAGGGAAAAACTTTTCAAGTGTTTTGTTGCGCGAGGTGTGCGACCTGTTGGGTACAAAGAAAGTACGTACCTCCCCGTACCACCCGCAGACTGACGGTATGGTTGAACGTCTGAACAGGACGATTACGTCTATGCTGTGCCAACAGGTATGCGACGACCAGGTGGATTGGGACTTACAGGTACCGGGGGTACTAGCGGCCTATCGGATGGCACCCCATGCGGCGACGGGGTTTTCTCCATTTTTTCTGATGTATGGGCGGGAGGCTGATCCGGCCATGGACGTCCAACTGGGGATTTCACAGCCACGTGCGAAATCTAAATTGGCAGACCACATTAAGTTTAACATCGCCAAATTGGCTGAGGCGCGAGAGGCTGCGAGATTGAATTCACGCTCTCGGCAGATCGCGAACGAGCGATTGCATGAACGGAAGGTGCATACGCACAATTGGGAACCGGGCGATAAGGCCTGGCTGCATTGTCCACACGCACCGTTGGCTACGTCCCCCAAACTGTTGAGACCATGGAGGGGACCGGTGGAAATTGTGCGGGTTGCACGACCCCAGAGTATACAGATTAAATGGGGAAAACGCCGTTGGTACGTGCACTCCTCCCGACTGAAACCCTACGCGGCGCCGCGTGACCCCGGGTTGTGCCGTGACGACCGAGCGTGTGATGTGACCGTCGACTCGGGGAGGGATGTGTCGCAGGCTGATCCTCACGTGTCTCCACCTGACCCACCCCCAGGTGTCTCGGACCTGACGGCTGTTGACCGTCGGGAACCGGAACCCCGCGGCTCGCACGGAGCCCCGATGCCTGGCCCATGCCTTCCTGAACTGCCGGCGCCGCCGGATGGCCAACTGCGTCCTGTGCCGTACGACGGTCCGGCAAGGCGGACTCGGTCAAGGACGCAACACTTTTCATGAAAAAAAAAAATTTCTTTTTTTGTTAAAGCCCGACTTCGTTGCCGGCTTCCCCCTCTGCCGGGGTAATGTCCCGTTCAAGGGACGCTCGGACATTGGGACGCTGCATGAGTCGGAGAGAAAAGAAGAGAAAATGATTAAAGAAATTTTTTTATTGTTACTCTTTCCGCATACACAGTATCGTTGCCACTCGCTGGATTGTGCATGTTGTTCTTGTTGCGGGTGTGGCGGTTGCTGGGTTTTGCGGATTGCGGTGTTCATGTTGTGTTGTTAGGGTTTGTGTTATGTTACGGGGCACACATGGGGGTGAAGGGGTGTTGTATGTTTTATTAGCAGCCGGGTCGGCTGCGAGCTATGTGGTAGGGGGTGATGTAGTGGTGGTATTGACGTGCGCCGGCAGTGATGGATCACGGGGCGCGGGGTTGGGCACGCGGTGTGGGCGTGGCATGGACGCGCGCGCCGGTGGTGAGGCGCGCTCACACAAGCTGGGAAAAGAGGATCGTAGCGAGTGCGCAGTGATTGGTCAGATAAGTGAGTACTCTCAGCGACGTCCGCAGGAGGGGTATAAAGGGGGACGCGCGAGAGCACTCGTGGTCAGTGTTAACCAGTTGAAGACCGAAGACGGGGTGGAGGAGGTAGGGGCCCTGTGTGGCTCGGAGCCGAGACTGGGGGGACCGTAGTCCGACGCCCGTGTGGGTCGGGACGGTGGTACCCAGAGCCGAGACGGGCACCCCGGCTGGGTGTGTCCCGGAAGGCTACAGGGCGTAAGAGCCCGTGTCAGTACAGCTGAGTGGGTGTTAGTCACCCGTGTAGCTGAGTGGGTGTTGGTCACCCGTGTAGCTGAGTGGGTGTTAGTCACCCGTGTAGCTGAGTGGGTGTTGGTCACCCGTGTAGCTGAGTGGGTGTTGGTCACCCGTGTAGCTAAGTGGGTGTTGGTCACCCGTGTAACGAAGTTGTAGCTGAGTGGGTGTCCGTCACCCGTGTAGCTAAGTGGGTGTTGGTCACCCGTGTAACGAAGTAGGGTGTTAGTCATCCGTGTAACTACAAGTTGGTGAAAATAAAGAGTGTGCTACCCGTGAAGTC